CTTAAATCGCAATTTTATGACTAACCATTTCTACATTTTATATTTTGTAAATGTTTATAGGGAAGAGTTGCTCAAGTCACAAAGTTTTTTGGCAAAATTACTTTAAACCTACTTATTGTGTGGAGTTTTTTGTTTTTGTTTTTGGAGGTGTTTCTGAACTTGAAAAGGAGAATTGCAAATCCTTATATGACCATTTTGCCTTTGGAGGAGAAAGCCAATTTATGACCCAGAATCCTTTATTCATAATTCTGAAATACAAAAGTTCTAAAAATTGTGTTTTTTTCTTAAGTTTGGTGGCAAAAGTGAAGCTGTTTAAGGCCTTGATTTATTTATAGTCTTATCTTATTTGGCATGAATGTGCATGTATTTCATTGCACAAATATTTCTGTGATTGGTTGGGAGACCCTGTTCCAGAAGCCACTGGGAAATTTAGATTAATAAATTATATATATACATATATATGTATATATATACATTGTACTCTTCTAAAATCTGAAAATTCTGAATTATCCTTAATTATAAAATTTAAGATCTGTGAACCTATAAACATTTATGTTGCATAAATAAAGAGCTGTTTCTAGCATCATCTTCCTTTGGTGTAAATATTTTTACTTTGCCATTTTACCCTAGACCCTAAAATCACATGAAGAATATTGCAGTGTTTTTATATGAAATTCTCTAATTCCAAAAATAGCCATGTGTTACTACTATGGATAATTTAAGATGTGATAAATTAATTTTACTTCTATTTGTATTTTGATATTCAGACTATCTTTACTGCTCAACTAATTTTCTAGTTTAGTTCCTCAAAGCATTAAAGTTAGGTTTCAGGGGTGACTGGCTGTCTCAGTCTGTAGAGCATGAGACTCTTGATCTTGGAGTTGTGAGTTCGAGCCCTACATCCAATGATGTAGAGCTTACTTAATTTTTTTTTTTTTTTTTTTTTTTTTTTTTTTTTTTTTTTTTTTTTTTTTTTTTTTAATTTTAAATGGGCACCTGTTTGGTTCAGTCAGTGGAGTGTGGGACTCTTGATCTTGGCGTTGTGAGTTCCAGCACTACATTGTGTGTAGAGATTGCTTAAAAATAAAATCTTAAAAAAAATATTAGGCTTCAATAACATTAAACTTTAAGTTAGCTCTCATCCTGGTCATACTACTTTCCTTTGCACCAGTTGCCATTTCTGTGGCACGTGCCTGAATCCTTGAAGGATTAAAGATTAGTTGATTAACTTGCTGTAGGAGTTTTGATAGCACAGGCTTAAATGAGAGATAGAGCTATAAATGGTTATTAACTGTACAAAAAAGTGCCAAAAGTGATGTTGTTTATTGGAGTTTGAGGAGGATTTGGTTTTTCTTTTAAGTTACTTCTCATCTGTGACCTAAGTTAGGAATTCATAGAGGTACTTTGTAGCGTCATTGAAGTTGTGAATTTATAGGCCTTACTGACAGGATGGGTTTGCACATGTTTCTAGTTTGACTGGCCTGCCACCTCTTACCTTTTGTCCCCGTGAGAGCTGAATAGCAATCCAGACCTTGTTACATCCAATGTATGATTCACTCCATTATCAGTCAGGTAGCACATCTGCTCATTATATAACATTGTACCAGGTTCTGGGCTGGATGATGATCATCAGAGCTTATTAAAATGTGAGTTATATTTTATATGAGGAAAGGATGATACTTTTTTCAGTAAGGAAGAAATTACTGTATAGTTTCTAATTCAACATGTGTAAAGTAAGCCCAAAGTTACGAATTATGAAATCACTCAAAAGCTAGAGTGTAAAATTTCATGTTTTTTTTAAGTTTTGGAATTATCAAAGATGTCTTTATATTAAGTTTGTTCATTCTAAATATACAGAACAAAATTGATGTCAGCTCATCTGTGAGACACCAACCAGAATTTTCTTATATTGCCTAAGAATTTAAAGGTCAGTTTCCCAAGATGGTAAAATTTCAGTTTTCTTAAACACTGTGTATCTATCAAATTATTGCTACGGTTTTATCACTGTATGTTTGAAAATCTTGTCCTTGTGGTTTTTATGTTTACAAGCTGATACAGTAAATTTCTAGTGCTTTCATGTGATAGAGCTGTTTAAAACAGTACGGGATAGCAAAGTTGGGCCCTGTTGTGTACCTCTGCTGCTTGTTACCTATTTGTCATGCGGCATCTTAACGTGATAGAGTAGACTTACACTTAAACATTTTATAGATGTGGCTTTGGGAGCCTCTCTTTATACGACAAGAGATAATAGTCTTAACGATAGGCACATTTGTAGCTACTCAAAGATCTAATGGCTTTGTGGGTTTTGAGAAGTGGGAATATAGGCCTAGGTTTAAATTGAAGCACTGCCTTCACTAGCTTTGTAATCTGATTAACTTTTCAGCAATAGTTTCCTCTTTTATAGAATGGGGATAATAGTTTCAGAGTAGTTATGATGATAAATAAATACATTAATGTATACAAAACATTTATCCTGGTACCTGGACCATGGAAGCCACATAAGCAGGGATAGTGACTACTGGTGTTATTTTTGTTGCCGTAGTGTAATTTGGTTTTCCTTTAAACTAAAGCAAGTGAAATTCACCACAGAATGTGCAAAGCATATGTAGTTTGTCATAATGCTGAAGGCTGCCGCTTTAAAGATAGTATCTTCAAACTGAGTTAATTAAGCACTCCTTACTAGGATAATGTCTTTTAAGTAGGTCATAGTAAGATGTAGTGGAAAGAATTTAGGACTGGAAATGAGAAGCCTTGGCATCCAGTTCTGACAATGCTATTTACCAGCTTTGGGCAAGCTACTTAACCTCTCAGGCTCATTTGCTCTTTCATAATATTGTGATTACCTGCCCCATGTACCATACTGTGCTTAGAAAAATCAATTGAACTTTTTTTTTTTTCCACATGCTTTGTAAATTGTAAAGCAGGTTATAATCATAAGGAGTAAATACTGTTTGCAAACGTTCTGAAGGAGTTCCCCCCAAAGCTCTACTCTGTAGATTACTTGGTGGTGTGTTTTGTGGTCCTCTATTTTTAAAAAGCTTTTTTTTCCCCAAAAGAAGCATCTTTAAGGTTTTTGTACTGTGGAACTTTATCAAGATGTGATAGAATGTAGTGAGCTCTTTCTCACCTCATACCATTTTCTTTTCCATGGGAGGAACATCTTCACTTATTTTTTTTAAAAAATGTATTAATAGATGCTTTCTGACTAGCAGACTTTGTTGGTTGTCCTTTGTAGTAACTTCCATTTTTTTAAATGTTTATTGAGAGAGAGAGAGCAAGCATGCATGCATGTGACTGGGGGAGAGGCAGAGGCAGAGGGAGAGAGAATCCCAAGCAGGCTCCATGCCTGAAACTCTACGCTCACATTGTTCATAACCTGAACCGAAATCAGGAGTCACTGACTGAGCCACCCAGGTGCTTCCCTTGTAGTAACGTCTAATTTCTATTTTCCCTAAAATACAAACACCAACATTGCAAATAGGAAGTGAATGGCACACAAGCTTCACACTTTGTCTTTTGAGTCACACAAGTCCTTAAGAGACAGGGAAAAGCCCTCTTAGCCTTCTTTTACCTCAGTGGGTTAGAAGCACAAAAACAAACCTCCACTCTTCAAAAAAAATTTTTTTTGACATTTTATTTTTCAGAGGCAGAGCGAGACAGAGCACGAGTAGGGGAGGGGCAGAGAGGGGGAGACACAGAATCCAAAGCAGGCTCCAGGCTCCAAGCTGTCAGCACAGAGCCCAAAGCGGGGCTCAAACTCTCATGACCGCCTGCTCATGACCCGAGCTGAAGTCGGCCACTCAACTGACTGAGCCGCTTGGGCGCCCCCAAACCTCCACTCTTAATACTGTTTGCCACATACCTGGAAGGATCAGAATCTTGTTGCTTTTTTATCACTCCTTTGAGGAGAGGGTTTCATATTGGAAGTACATGGAAGATAGGGGCTGTTGAGGAGACTAGGGAAAGGGAGGTACACTAACTTTTTTTACAGCTACCTTACACCTAACCCTCTACCCTGGGGGTCACAGAAGCTTAAGATAGGTACACGGTAGTCCCTGTTTTAGGCAAAGGGGAAAGTTGATTAGTTGACCTCAGGAAAGAACATCCATTCACATTTCAAAATAAATGCATTTTTAAAAAATTTAAATATTACAGTTCCAGCAGTTGTGTTTTTTACACTGTTTCTGATGCATGTGTTATTCAGTAGGTTTTTATGGAGCAACCTGAGAAATGTGAACTTCTGGCATTGGCTTGGAGGAAAACATGTATTTCTTTAACTGTGGAAAACAGTTTTAAAGTTCCAACAAGTGATTTGTAACGTTTGAAGATGCGAGTTGGGTGGAGGAGACCTGTAGTCTCTCTGGAAGCTCTTAGCAGTTTTCAGTCTGAAGGAATTTCTCCTTGCCTTAATATTTGGTTTATATTTAGGCCTTTGGAAAAATACAAAACAAGCATAAAAGCAGTCCCTGTACTTAAGGAATTTCCTTTCTATAATGGTGAAGTAAGATGTATTTGAGAGTACCAGGCATATTTTATCAACTGATGGAGTGTAAGGTGTAGATTAAAGTATGAGTATTTTATTGCAGAGAAAGCTTGTTGAAGAATAGCACTAGGGATGGCTTTGTGGGGACATGAGCCTTGAACTTAACTATCAGGTGTCTGGTGATAGACACAACACTGTTGAAGGGTGCTGCTACTTAATGGGAGAACTGAAGAGAGTTTGAGTGGCATAAAGGAAAGTGTATTACGTATATCAAGTCAGTTAAGATGAAGAGTTCATGTTAGGATTATTTGTGCAGTTTGTTTTTGTGAAACAGCATGACATTCTCAAAGCTTTTTTGTTTGGGACAGCTATGAGCAGGTGGTTTATAAGCAGTTCGCGTTAGTTTGGTCGATGATTTGGGAGTAGAGAGTGATACTGTGGGGTAAACTTTTCCAAATGTCTTTTGCTCTTAAAGTAATAAAATACTGGTTGTTAGCCCATTTTCCTTCTTTCGCAGGTAAAAAACAGGAAGCAGATGAGTTGAGTGGAGATGCTTCTGTGGAAGATGATGCTTTTGTCAAGGTAAAGTGTTAATTACCCAGGTTAAGATGTTTGTTTTGAGTGTAGTATTTTGCATGATGAATTCATGCAGTTTACTTGAATAATAGATGTATGTAGGTAAAATAAAGATAGAGACCTATGTAGTATTGTCAATCTCATCATAGTTGAAAAATACAATAACTGTCTTTAGTTGAATGAGACATAGGGCTAAAAATAATTTTTGTCCAGGTCTTTAAGTAGAAATCAGACATAGATGCCAGAGGAACAGCTATAGGACAATTGATATGTTAGTTCCTGGACAAAGTGCTGCAATGAAGGTATTGATAATTTATTTTTCATCTTCCCATTGCATTTAGCTTCTGTATAAAATATACAAAACTAGCTTAAAGTAGTTCTTAAAATGGAGAGAGAAGATTGCTGATGTGTTGCTACTTAGGAAAGATCGAATTAAGAAATTTGTTTTGCCTTTTAAAGATAAATAAGCCAGTTTCTTTTGGCTAAAAATTAATGTATTTCAAAACTGACCAATCAGAAAAATAATGTATATAGTTTTAGCTGGAGTTGTGGCAGTTCTGTGTACTAAGTTATTTTTAATCACAGGGTTTTTTTTTCCCCCCTTGGGGTGTGTGTGTGTGTGTGTGTGTGTGTGTGTGTGTGTGTTTACTAATGTGATCTGCTCCTTACTGATCATTAGGTCTTAAGTAGTGTGGCATTTGTAGGAATTATTTAATGACCATAATTCCTCTTAAATTATGTACGTTTATACCCCCATATATTCTGTTCTCTGTGTAGTTAGTCCATATGGTCATAACATCTCTGGATGTCTGTGTGCTCTACCGTGAAGTTAGCTTGTGTCCATTCACCTGGCCATCTCTTCCTACTGCTTAGCTCTCTCCCCTCCCCACGTTAGAGGGACACACAGACCACAGAGTATACCACATGCCCTACAGTTTGCACCTTGCACTTTGAGGGTATGCAGAGAGAAAGAAATTCATGGTGAGGATTTAACTTTGAAATCAGATAATTTTGGGAAATACTTGCCCAAGGAGCCATTAAAATTGATGATTGCATGCCTGTAACTAGCTTTTGTTTGAGCCTTTCAGAACTCTCCAGTCTCTGTATTCTGTTATTCTTGTGATACATCTTCCTTTAGGTTTCTTTGTTCTTATTTTCTCCAGGTATCTTCACTAGTGAGTGTATGACTGAGTAAAAACTATCCATAACCTGGAAAAACATTGTGGTTTAGTAAAAAACTTTTAATTTTCAAATATCTCTGTTTCAGCTCTTCAGTTCACAAAAATCTCACATTTATTTGAACTGTTAGGAGATAGATATGTCCATTCAGCATAATAGTATTGTCTCATGTGCTGCAAAGGATAGCTTTGTGTTGTTATTAAGTGAACCTGGTCATAATGTCTAGAAGAACAGAAGAGCTTAAAAAAAAAAAAAGTCCTATTTAAATAAATCTTCAGTTCCTTCTTTGTACTTCTTTTTTCACTTTGGAAGTAACGGCATATATGATGTATTCGATTGAAATAAAGTGAATATGCTAATTTCTTAGAATTGGTAAATTTTAGAATTTATACAGTAGTGGTAAGTAAGTATTACCTATTGTCTAGACATGAATAATAGAGTAATTGCTTTCATTTACAAGTGAAGAGAATGGTCCAAGTTGGCATTTCAGAATAAATAAAGTCCCCTGGGTGATTTCCCTTAGTCGGTTCTCTTTTCTTTTCTTTTCTTTTCTCTTTTTCTCTTTTCATTTCTTTTCTTTTTTCTTTTCTTTTCTTGCCTTTACCCCTGTTACATAATCATCTACTCCCATTTTCAGTCTCCAGTGTTCCTCACTCATAGGTTGTGAGGTTGGTGAAACCTACTGCCCCAGAAACATCCTGCTCCCAAGCACTCCACATTCTAATACAATCATATTGCTTTTCTTTGCCCATCTCCCTCAGAAATTTCTATTTCCTCACTGCAGTTCAGCTCTGAGTGATTGATAGTCCTGCCCCTGCACTTTTCCCCTTTTAACCCAGAAGCCTTTTCTTAAACCTGTTATATTTACCATAAGAATAGGAAAAGGGGAAGGGTGTTCATTGCTTTCCACCCTTTCTCTGCAGTTAAAGAGGAAACTAACTAGATTGCTACTTTTCTTTGTTTCTATTGAATTACTGTGAATCCATAAACTTTGAAGGGCAAACAGAATTCCTTAACAGAGACAACCCCAACCTATGTTCCCTTGCCTATCTGGGATTGTGGCACAGTGATATATTTCAGAATAAATACATTTAATTATTTGCATTTTTTCAAAAGCAGAATGTAGCAGTTGGGGTGCCTTATTATAAATTAGAAATAAACTTTGTTACAATATGTAAGACTTGCAGGGTCTTTGAAGTTAAATCAAACTGGCATATGGAGAAATCAAGTCATTTCTGTGAAGTCGTATCTTCTAGGACAACTCCTGGGATGTGACTTGGTAAATATTAAATAACTGGAACTTGAAAGCATCTCCAGTAGCAATCCAGTTAGTGTGTACCTCAGTGTGAGAGATTTGGGGAGTTAGATGCATGGTTCAGTAACTTTGGGATTTGACACCCTCTTTTTAAAGACACAGTAAATATGTAAGGTAAAATGATTGAACTTTGACTTTGGGCATAAAGTCAAAGTATGGTAAAATTTAAAACATGTAGACACGTAAATTACCAAAAAGGTTTGGTGGATAGCCTACACTACTTTGCCTCTAGTTGTACCAAATTTTCTTACCATTAAAAGGACTGTGAATTGGAGAATCAAGAGGCACATGAACAAGATGGAAATGACGAGCTAAAGGACTCTGAAGAATTTGGTGAAAATGAAGAAGAAAATGTGCATTCCAAGGAGTTACTTTCTGCAGAAGAGAACCAGAGAGCTCATGAATTAATAGAGGCAGAAGCAATAGAAGATATAGAAAAAGAGGACATCGAAAGTCAGGTCTTTAGCCAGTTTTTTAAAAATGTGACACGGATAAATTAAGTAATAAATAATAAAAAGTATTTTTTCTAGTTCAATGTGGAAGTTTCAGAATTTTCAAAAATATCATTTTGGAGTTATTTATAAACCACCCAAAATCCTACCACCTAAGATGACCTTTTAAATTTTTGCTTGTCTTCCACATTTGTATATATTTTTATATAGTAGTTATCATGCCTTTAGTTGCTATTTATTCTATATGATGTTTTCATATAACATACCATAATTTCATAATGCGTGTGCTATACTGTAACTTACTAGATTGATTTCTGTGTGTCAAATAGCCACTCCCTTAATTTGGACATTTACACATAAGTTGTTTTCTACCCCATTATGGGTGAGTGTACCAGTTCATTCTGATCTTGCCAACAGTACTGGATGGTAGCTATTTTTTCTTTTGCTATTTTAGTAGATATAAAGGATTAATTTGCATTTCTTTGGTTATGAATGGTGGGTAATTACTTCAAGTTTAATTTAAAGGCATATAATTTTAAAAGTATTTGATTGAAATAGACCATTTGTCTTGTTTTGAAGTATGTTAGTGTGTCTTAAAACCAATGGATTAGGGAGTCAGTACTGTTAATATTCATGCTTAGAATACTTCCATTCTACTTAGCCAAATAAATGAAGGGCTCAAGAGATTTTTGTAATCCTCTATCAGTGTGACTGTTTTTATGTTGGAACAAAAAGTGTAGTCTGAATTATTAAGCATTGACTTAGTACCGACGGTATCATAGACACTGTGCAGAATACAAGGCAAGTGATAGTTGGGTATAGCATAAAAGCATTCTCATGTTACCCAGATATTTTGTAAAGCAAAGCTATTGTATACCCTTTTACTTAGGAAATTGAAGCTCAAGAAGGTGAAGATGATACCTTTCTAACAGCCCAAGTAAGTTTACATTTAGTCCTATGAATATGATATTGTGGGTGGAAGGGCTTGGAAAAGGAATCTTATTTTGACTTCATAATTCTCTAATTCATAAAACTGCTTTAAATTCAGTTTAAGTACTGGTATATACAAAATACTTAAAATTGGCAGCTGAAATTTCTGTTGCCACAAAGGTAATTGGAAGATTTTATAACAAGGTTCTTACCATTTTCAGAATAAAAATAAAAATAGTCCATCCTTTCTGTTAAAAAAAAAGAAACAAACTGAAAAACCTCTGGTTACCAGTCTTTTGAGAAGTCTACCTCGCCTTGATTTTTTTTTTCTGGCAATTTGCTATGAAGTCAATCATTTAAAAGTACTAATACCCTTATTAAAGCTTTAATTAAGATTTTGTTAATTTAACACACCTAGAATGGGCAGAGTATAAAAATGATAAAAGTCTCTGTTCTAGAAATTTACTCAGGGTATGTGTGTGTGTGTGTATGTGTGTGTGGAAAATGACTTCTCTTCTATTGTGTGTCGTGTTGTTTTTGGTATATGTGATATAGATAGTGTATATCTATATATACAGTGACTTAGAGGGGCTATAAACACATATAGCTCAGTTGCTACAATGTTTCCTTTTTAACTTATTCTTTGTTTTTTCCTCATCTGTACTCAAGAACCCCTTTTTCATCTACCTCCTTTAAATAGTATGCTTTGAAATAGAGATAGGAGTTTCCTCTCTTTACTAGATTAAGAAAAAATAGGGATCGAGACTTTTATTTCCTTACCGTAATATTTGCCAGAAGAGTATGTAAGTGGAGCTCATACTTATGGACTGCTTAGCTGATTGCCTCTGGTCACACCTTCTTTCCTGCAGCTCTATTGCCTTTGAAATGATGTTGAACCACAAATGCTGGTGAGGCTGTATTTTGGCTTTCTGCGTTTATTGCAGTGGGGGGAGAAACTGCATTTCTGGGAGAAATGTGTCTGATAATTTGGAATATTCAGGAAGGAAATGATAGGACCATGCATGTCTGTAGATTTGTCCCCCATACTGTCTCCAACTAAGTTAGTTTCTGAGTGATAAAGAATAGGTGAGGAATATTAACTCTCAGATTAGGGGAATACCTTTTCTAGATTAACTAATTTGCAAAAAGGTAGAGTTGAGCTCTTCATATTCCTTAGCAACTAGCTTGTTAATTTGCTCCAAGGCCCACTCCTGGAGTTGTGTAGGTTGTGAGCTGTGTAAAGAGATCATTTCTAAGGTCCCCATTCACATCATAGATTACATATTTGTTATAAAAATTTAACAGATTAAAGTACCTTAAGGAATGGATGCCTTTTTAAAAATTTTCACAAATCTTTATGGCCTGGAGATGGCCATGCTTCCCTTCTATCCTGATGATGAGTGAACACTTATTCCTCATCAAGGGCTTTACTGTATCAAAAGATTGGGAAGGTACATCTTCAGAGAAGTTTTCTTTACGATTTAAAATGACCTTTTTTCTCTTTGTGAATAATGTAGAGTGGAACATTTAGCAATATATAAAAATGTTTCTATGTTTCATTGTGACCTAATGCTTCTGAACGTGTTGTTTTACTGTGTGTGCATTAAGTAATACTACATAGAGCGTAACGATCACCCGGCTTTAGCCGTTACAACTCATGGGTAGTCTTGTTTCATTTATACCTCCTTTCACTTTTCCTTTTCTGCATTATTCAGACAAATCCTGGACATTTAAAATTTTTCATTATGTATCTCTAAAAGAGAACTTACTTTTTTACAATATCACTCCTGATAAGATTTTTAGTCTCCCTACATGTACACTTAGTATTTAAATGTTCAATTGTGCAGAAGTTTTTGCTTTTTTTCTTATTTTCACAGGTTTTGTTTGAATCAGATGTAAATAAGATGTACCTACTGTGATTGATTGAAATGTTTATTAAATTTCTTTTAGTTTATAGGTTTTTTTCCCTCCATCTTTTTTCCTTCAGTTTATTTGTTGAAGAAATTGAGCTGTATATTCTGTAGAGCAAGGGTTGGCAAAGTTTTTCTTAAGGGAATAGGTAGAAAATATTTTAGCCATTGTGGGCCATATGGTCTGTGTTACACCTATTCAGCTCTGCCATTGTTGTGTGAAAGCAGCTGTAGACCATAGGTAAATGAACTGACATGGCTGTTTCAGTACAAATATTTATAAAAAGAGGTATCTAGCCTCTTTTTTGCCAACCCGTGTTATAGGCTTTCCGAAGTCTAGATTTTGCTGATTACATTTCTGTGGAGTCGTTCAACATGTGTCTTTGTTTACTGTATTCTCTGTAAATTGGTAAGTCGGTTATAGGATCTAGAGACTTGCTGTCCAATTTAGGGCACCCCACCCCAACACACCCAACTACTGCAGAAACAGTGTTCTTCCATTTGGATGCATGTCATGTCTGGTTTTAACTTTTTGGTGATGCTACCAATCATTGATGATCCACACCCCTTTGATCAAAGTAGTATATTCTAACTCTATCATTTCTTCTTACTGATCAGCTAGGATGTTCCTAGAAATAGAAATATCTCATACTGTTTGGTTATCCAGTGGTACCATTGACAAAGGAAAGCCAGCGTATATACTTATGCCTCATTTCTTTTGCTTTTATTTACCAGTTTTGAGAATAATGAGCTGGTTTATCACTGACTAATGAGCTTGTTATTTTTCCTTTTTTTCTCCCTTAGTTTCATTTTGAACTCATGGATTTAAGTGTATTTGATGTATTTCAGTCCATTGTAGTTATCCTTGTTCAGTGTTCAAACTGTCCCATCTGTATCTGTAGCTTGTGAGAGCCTCTTCATTTCAATATGATCCTAGTAGTCTTTGACTGCTTCCTTGCTTTCTGGTATGTTATGATGTTCCTTTTTCTGCTCTAGACCTAATTAGCCATTTTTTCCCTTTATAGTGGTAAATGGTTTTCAAGAAAATAGTCTCGGTGGTAGGGATGTAGTTCATTGCCGCTGGGTTTTCATGTCTTCTAGGTCTTTTCTTCCAGTGTACAGTGCTAGGGAATGTGTGTGGTGTTTTGGTTTGTTTTTGCTTTCAAGTTAAATAAATTTTGAGGTCACAGGGATACTTGCAAGTTAATCATTTCCTTTGTCTTATGGTACACATAAAATAGTCTTAGAAACTTAATATCAACACTATTACCAAAAAGATTAGTGAAAATAACTTCTCCCCAGTGTATCTGTCCTAAAGACGTACCCTTCTAGGAGTGAACAGACTATACTATTTTGGACGAGTTCTGCTCTATAGGATTATATCACCAACTCATACATATTTAGGTTGACTTGTTTCATTTTATTTTCAATAATTAAGGTGTGCTTTTTAAAAAACTTGAATCTGTAACTTTTTGTGAGTCTATAATTCAAACTAGGAAATTTAATTTTATAATTATTTACAATATTTATGTGGTTTCAAAATCAAAGCTACGAGAAAAGTACATTCACAAAAGTCCCTTCTGGGGTGCCTGGCTGGCTTATTTGGTAGAGCATGTGAACCTTGATCTCAGGGTCATAAGTGCAAGCCCCACATTGGGCGTAGAACTCACATCCACACAAAAAAAGTCCCCTCCACTCATTCCCTTGATGGCAAACTTTTTAAATTCCTGATACATTCTTCTATTATTTGTTCCTAAAGATACAAGCAAATGGGCAGTATATTTGTATAGGAATGTATTTATTTAAAGCCAGTTTTCAGGCTTACTTACTTTAAATGTTTGGCCTTTAGGTGTTAGCCAAGAATGTGGTTCAAATTCTGCTTCTTTTAGTTGCTAATAATATTTTGACTTTGGGTGGATTCTCTTAGTTTCTAAGTCTGTAAAGTGAACATTAATTCCTACCTGCTGCATTGATGTTAGGATTAATTATAGATCCTGGCACTTAGCATATGTGCATTCTGGTTGTGATCTTGTTTACTAGCTTGAAGAGACTCGTTTTACTTAAGAATTTGGGGGAATTTTTCTCAAAAATGTTTATATTTGCTGATTCTGTAATTCTTCAAAATTTCCTCTAATCACAGTCTCTTCAGTCTTTGGTAATCACACCATGTATATTCCTTTTTCTGTTTGTCTTTGCCCTTAATATTTCACTAATTTGATACCCTTTTTTTGTCATATGAATTCTGTGTACCCCTAAAGCCAGATTTATCTGTATCTGCTCCCTAAAACTTTCCCTAATATCTTTTATGTAGTGCTTTATTGTTTACAGAGAATTTTTTACATCCATTATCTTACTCAGATGTTTATATTTATTTAGGTCATATGTTATCCCTTATTTTATGGGTAAAATTCACCTACATGGATAACACGAGCGAAACTGTTTCGTTGACAACGATAGGATAAACATCCAGGTGTTATGATGCCTGGTTTAGAATTCTTTTCACTAAATCACTGCACACTAGTAAATCTTGTTTGCTGATTCCATTATACTCACACAGGGCTGTAGCTAAGCCCGTTACGTACATGGAAATGAACAGTTAGTTCATTCCCTTCACCTGAAAATAGTAGTGTCTTATACCACAATTATTCAGTAAATTCATTCAATAAATATTTATTGAATGCTTATCACATGCCAGGTGTTTTGTGTTTTCTGTGATCTTTAGCATATTGCCAGATAGATAGCAGACAGTTGGTGGCTTAAGGTTATTTTGAAGGTTTATTTTAAAATCAGGCTGAATATAGTATTTACATACAAGTCAGGGAAAGGAGGCTTTCTAGAAGCGGTCTTCTGACATAGCACATGTTACATGTATCGCAAGATTAACCTAGGGGAAAGGAGAGAGAGAGGGGGTGGGGAGAATGTAGCTTTGTATATGAATTTTGGCATTTGACTAAGGGTTGTAGATCCTGCTATAAGGATAAACAACATGAGTACCTACCTTACAGAGCATTTGCTTCATTTTCATATGTGAAATGTTACATTTTTTCCAAGAGGAGCTCAAAAAGTGTTTAATATGGAAGGATGCTTTACACTGTTGTTCCTTATTATATTTCTCATTCTGAAAACAACCTGTTTTCGGTGGAGGAAAATTGTTTTCAGAGAAGATGCGTATCCTATGTATCATTTAGACAGGAAAAATCTCCCATTGTATTTCTTGGTTTGTTTCCGTATTACAAAGATTTTTAGGCTTATTTAGGGCTTTTGGTTTGACTTTAGCAGAACTTTGTTTACTGCACATACTGCGCAGTGAAACCTGCACTGATACGTGGCTCATCTTTTCTACTAACCCTAGTTGTTTTTGTGCTTCACCTGTGTTGTAGTTGGTTTTATTTTCTAGAAGCCGGGTCAGACTCTTCTAGGGGCATTGAAGCATATGTGGTAAAGCTAGTGTTACCTTTAATTTGAGAAACTCACGTTATGAGACCCTTCAGAAGACATGTTGAATAATTAGGGTAAATATCTGAAAGCTCTTCCGCAAAGTAAGGCAAACCTTACCAGTTATTTTAGCAGCTAGAAATAACATTTGTAACTAGTGGAACTACAGCAGAAAGCATTTTTTAAAAAATATTTTTTAATGTTTATTTATTTTGGAGAGAGAGAGCATGGGAGGGGAGGGACAGAGGGAGACACAGAATCCATGCACAGAGCCTGACGCGGGGCTCGAACTCACGGACTATGAGATCATGACCTGAGCCAAAGTCGGACGCTTAACCAACTGAGCCACCCAGGAGCCCCAGGATTTTGTTTCTTACAAAACACACAATACTTAATTTTTTTTTTAATGTAAAAATTAAAATGTTTTTACTCTTTAAAACAGGAGATAATTTGGCCATTTTTTCTTAAACCTGTCAGTATCGCATCTCTAAAAGAATAACTGGAAAGTGGTGTTGCTGTTGGTAGATAAAGGAGAGGCAAGTTGCATTCTTTAAGTTAATTTGTTCTGCTTCCAATTAAAAGTTAAAGATATTCCAGTATATTTATTCCCCCAAGACAAATTACTAAACTAAAAGAGAAAGATAAATCACCAATTCTGGTCTCACCCATCCTTTCCTTGCTGCCATTGCCTGTCATGCCACCCAAGTGAAAGCATTTCTCTTCCTTTCCAAATGTTGCAGATTAGAAACATAATGATTGAAACTAAATTCTGGTTCAGCATTGTGGTCCAGAGCAACAATAGAGTTATCAGAGCATAATGTCGCAGACTTAAGTGATAATAAGATTCACTTTGCTATGAATCAATAACCTACTTGTTCAGGACTCTCTTACTTCCTAAGCTTGTGGCTTAGTTGTTTCAGTGTTTGTAGTTTCCTTCATACACTTTAGTGTGTAAAACAATTGGGCATTTCCTAACTGGGGCACTTACATGTTAGCTTAAAGTCAAAAAATCTGTTAAAATGATTTCTTAGAAATATGGTTGTTGCCAGATGTAAGTTTGAGCATATGGTAAAATATTTGACATTTTTAAAGAATGCACACTTTTCTATGAATCTAAAATTGTGTTATAAATAAATATGCCAGTTAAAGTTTTATTTACAGTTCAGTTTAAGTCTTTTTTCACTACTGGGCTGTCACTCTAAGGCAGTAGTTCTTAAAGTGTGGTCCCTGGACAATAGCATCAGCGTCACCTGGAAGCCTGTTAGAGATGCAGATTCTCAAGCCCTGCCTCCAGACCTGAATTAGAAACTCTGGGTTGGTGCTTAGCAAACGGTTTTAATTAGCCTTCCAGGAGATTCTGATACAGACTCAAAGTTTGAGAACCACTACTCTAAGGCTTTGTATGTGCTAGCTTCATACCACTGTGACCGAAAAGGATCTACTTCTACTCAGCTTTTACTTTATTTTATTTATTATTTTTTAAATGTTAATTTATTTGTGACAGAAAGAGAGAGAGAGAGAAATAGAGTAATAGAGTGGCGGAGGGGCAGAGAAAGAGGGAGACACAGATTCCAAAGCAGGCTCCAGGCTCTGAGCTGTCAGCACAGAGCCTGATACAGGGCTCACACTCGCGAACTGTCCGATCATGGCCTGAACTGAAGTCAGACGCTTAACCGACTGAGCCCCCCAGGTGCCTCTACTCAGCTTTTATTTTAAAAGTTATAAGTTAAAACATCCCTTCACTTTTTTTTTTTCCTTTTCTGAGATTAAATGCATATTTCGTTATTTGTTAAGATCTTTAATGGGAAAATGTTGGTTTTATCTTGGTGTGATTATGACTACTTCAGTGGTTTTTGCACTATTTGCTTGGTAAAGGGAAAATCCCCTTGCAGTATTCCTGTTTTCAGGCTAGTACATGCTTAATTTTAGATTAGGTGAGGAGATCACATATTTTAAAATTAAAATCAGTCATATTTTTTAAAAAGTGTGAGTTACTCTTTTCATTACCTATTGTGCAAACACCTTTTTAAAAGTAGTTGGCCTCCAGGGTGTATGTGGCTGCTGTGAATTAATTTTTAGCAGATCAGAGGAATGAGTAATTTGAAGATAACTGCTCTTGTAGTCTTCCCTTTGAGTTCTGAGATACCTGGAAAGAGTTTTTGTTTGTTTGTTTTATTAATACGCATTTAAGCCCTTGAAAGTGCGGGTCTTCAATTTATACTTTCTGGTACTACTTTTGAATAGTATGCCCTAAAAGTGCTTTTGAATGGAGTCACGTAAGATAATCAGGTCAGTCCTTTGGCAACTGCTTGATGTGAGTAAGATTCAGATTTATATAAACTAGTTTTGAATACTGAAACTAATACAGTTTATTGATGATCTGATTATTGATAGATTTACCTGTTTTGTCTGAAACCGTATATACCAGACATGTGCCACATTTCTCTAACTGGCCTCTGGTTCTGATTGGAAGATCCTATATATGCTAGTGATAGGTGTCCCTAATTAATGTTACTAAATTATATACCAGTTTAACTTGACTGATTTTATGCTATTACTAAAATCTAGTTTTAAGTGAATTCATTTTACATTTGATTATTCTTTGAATTTCAGGATGGTGAGGAAGAAGAAAATGAGAAAGGTATGTTTGATGCCAAGTAGAGTTTAAAAATTGCTGACATTTAGAAAAATAGTAAATTATGTGAGAACAAAAACCTTCCTTATTTGAAATCTTATTTTTGAAATGACTTTATTTTCAAATTTATCTATTTAGTGAATTAAGTTAGCATCTTGATTTCATTTTTCAATTGGTTTTAATTTTCTTTTTAACATTTAAGATATGTTCTAACTTAATGGTACATATCAGTTACTGTAGTGGACAATGCCATATTTTATTTAACCCAATTTTAACTTTATTTTTTACAATAACTTCTAGCATACGGTAAGTCGATAACGTCCTTAAGACTGGCACTGCAGTAACTCATACGTGCTTATTGGAGTGTAACGGATAATTAATTGTATGAACGGTCCTAAAAATGGGTGATGAGGAGACTAACGTTTTGTTTGCTACATAGAGAAACTTTCGTATAGCCTTCTGACAGTTTTCATAGTTTAGGAGAACTGTCTCATCCAATACAATTACAGGGACATCAGTAGTAATACATTTGTCAGTACGAGGTTATCATGGAAGAGTTCTTGGATGGAAGTCAAAGGATCCTACTTTGGACTAGAAAGGACATGGAGCAGGGTTCTAAGCAAGGCAGAATTAAAGGCCTAAAAATGATGACGAAGTAAAGCTACTGACTGAAAATCTCACATACCTGAAGCCTTTCTATTTTGGGGGAATGCAAGACATCTTCAAAAACGGTAATTGCGGGACTGACTGGACAGGATGAAGATTGGAAATAACCAATTTCCTGAACGTTATGGAGCAGGCCATCTTTGGAGCCTTCTGTAGCAGTTTTCCATACGATTCTGGACTACCCAAGAATTGAGTAAGAAGAGTGAAAAAGATGGGGCCCTGAAAAACTTTGAAGACTGATTGATATCCTCAGACTGTGACCTTTCAAGACGTCACCAAGGGAATTCTGAAGGTCACAAGGGTTAAACCCAAGATGATTGGAACATTGAATACCAAATCTGCACATTTGTCACTATCTCATGGAGGAAAAACGTCTTCCATATGCCATTAACTTCTAACCACAAATGAAGAGCTGGTATCCTCAGGATGGAACCATTTCCTCACTTTTGTTGTTTGGTATTTGTATGTAGAGATCATTTTTTTCCATGAAGAATAAGTGATCCTGGGTAAAGGATTGTTTATGTTAGTTAATACCCTTGTGTTTTTTTTCCCCTAACCTTCCATCAGTGCTAATAACTGGCTTTATATTTTCTAGGTCCTATTCTAGCTTATGAATATGAAATTGTTTAAACTTCTTGTTTTGCCATATTTATTCCTGTTAAATCCTCTTAGATATAGCAGGTTCTGGTGATGGTACACAAGAAGTATCTAAACCTCTTCCTTCAGAAGGGAACCTAGCTGAGGCTGATCACACAGCTCATGAAGAGATGGAAGCTAATGCGACTGTGAAAGAAGCTGAGGATGACAACATCTCGGTCACAATCCAGGCTGAAGATGCCATCACTCTGGATTTTGATGGTGATGACCTCCTAGAAACAGGTAAAAATGTGAAAATTACAGATTCTGAAGCAAGTAAGCCAAAAGATGGGCAGGACGCCATTGCACAGAGCCCGGAGAAGGAAAGCAAGGATTATGAGATGAATGCGAACCATAAAGATGGTAAGAAGGAAGACTGCGTGAAGGGGGATCCTGTCGAGAAGGAAGCCAGAGAAAGTTCTAAGAAAGCAGAATCTGGAGACAAAGAAAAGGATACTTTGAAGAAAGGGCCCTCGTCTACTGGGGCCTCTGGTCAAGCAAAGAGGTTTGTTTTTCTATGTCAGTTCTTTACGATACTGAATTCCAGCATTCAATAAGATCACTCTACATTAAGGGGGTGGCTTCAAGACCATGTACAGTAATTAGTACTTATGATCCTGCCTATAATATTTTTGACCGTCATAAGTTACTTTAAAAAAAATTTCAAGATCTTCGTAATATGCAGTGTGTCCTACTGATTGCATTGTCGAATTGTCAGCATATATTTGGTTTTTTTTTTTGTTGTTTTTTGTTTTTTTTTTCAAATTGACAATTTTTTTGTGTTTTATTTTTAAAAATCCTTGTGATGATGGTTAATGAACAACTATCAGTCCTAAGAACACAAAATGAAGTCAAGTCCCAGTCCTGAAATCTGGAGAAGATGGCCATATATCCACTGAATAGAATTGTCAGAAAATCTAGATCTTCAGGCATCTTGGGGAAAATCAGTGCAAGAATCCTAAGGGAATCATTTGTTCAAATAACCTAATCTAGACCTTTGGAATTGTTAATTTGTGTGAATAGCACTAGTTTGAAATGTAGTCAATATCAAGCTGTTCGATTTTTGGTTTTTTTGGGTTTTTTTTTTTGTTTTCAATTTTCTTCTGGTGATTTGCTTCTTTAGCTCTTCAAAGGAATCTAAAGACAGCAAGACATCATCCAAAGATGACAAAGGTAATGGATTTTTTTCCTATTTATTTCAGTGGTAAATTGCGTATTTTCGTTAAAAAATAATAATTGCCTGGGGTTTCCTTTGACGTTTAGTCATTTAAAATATACATACTAAAATTTCTGGATGGCTTTTGTGCAGACTGTTGAGTTAAATAGATTTTGGCAAACTCTTGGTGTTATTGAGGTGTTAAGCTTTAATTAATTTGTAAACTGGTAGGATTATGCTAAAAGTTGTATTTTTAACATTGTGTTCTAAGCACCTGTGTTGAATATTAATACAATAGATACTTCATTTTCTTGCCTTATAATTTTAGAAATATTTTATCTTTAGTCGTAGTCATTTGCAACCCATATGCACCAACCTTCTCCCTGTTCTGTCTAGTAGGAAATGTGCCATAAATGATATTTGCATATATTTGTGGAGTCTAATATTTAAAAGAAAATCAGTCTCTAACATTTGGTTTTATTTTTTTCATTGTTTAAATCAGGGCACACTTCTGTTAACATAGCCAGTATAGGGTATTTTTGATTCTTTACAATTTGCTTCTTGATTTGACTTATTTTGGGTCGATAGGAGTTTTATGTAGGAAATTCGTTTTATTTTAAATTTTTATAAGCTTAAAGATACAATATTTGGTTACTTTCTGTTACTGGGATGTCTGGGTCTCTCATGGCTGTTGCACTGTAGTTTCCTCTTGTACATATGCTGTCTACTTGAAAAACATTTCCTGTTTTCTGAAAAATCACTTTAAGGGAAATAACACCAATCAGATATTGCAAAGTCCTAGAATGCCTCTTCAGTGAATAAATAAGGAATGTTATCTGATTTTTGTGGTTCATTTAGTGTTATTTTGTTGGTAATTTTAATAGTTGGAATTTCAAGTGATTGTGTACTAAATTGACAGTTAATTGCAATACTCACATCCTTTTACAGTTTTGGTTAATGGACAAAATTTAATAGATTTATTGAATGTTACCCTTTAAATTCAGAAGATTAGTGGTCTTGTTTAAATGTTAACTTTTTTCTATTATTGAAATTTTTTTTTTCTGTAATTAAGAGAAGTACCAGGGCCCAAATGTTATTGTTAACATAAAAAAAGATACGCAGTCTTCTAGTTAGCATTTCATAAAATCGATCCTTTGATAAATGTAGTTTTTAAGAGTAGAAATGCAGCAGACATTAATATTTAAAATGTGTCGTCTCTTCATAAGTCTACGTGGACAGTAATTTTTCAACTAAAACCTGTGGCATTAATATTTTAAAGCATTGAAAATTTTACTCTTTCTACTTACAATAACGTGCAGTTATAAAAATTGTTACTTTTAATTGCTTACATACTTTTTTTCCTTAAAGTGGGTAAGAATTGTTCTGCAAATTAAGTCAAATGAATGAAAGCTCCCTTTTGTAACAGCACATTTGAAGAAAAGCACTGGGGGGGGGGGGGGGGGGGGGGAATGACTGACTAGGCCTGTATTCCAAGAAATGGTACTTAGGTGTATGACAGCCTACTTTGTGTATGGAGGTAGTACAGAAATAATTCGTATAACCATTTACCTATTCTAAAGAATTTTGAGGTTTCTGATTTTATTCTTATTAATAACTTTGTTTTAGAAGATTGTTTTTTATTAAATCCAGAGTTATCTAGCTGCATATAATTCCTGTTTTATTCTTTCTCTACCAGAGAATGAAGATGAGCTGTTGGTTAGTCTTTGTTATTAAACATTTACATTTTTGAATATGGTTTATCCCTTCCTTTGACTGTTCCCTTTTGCACTCCCAATGTCTCAGGATCTAAAGCCCAGGACATATGTGGGTAATTAAGCAATCTGTACATTTCTAGATGACTGCTTTCCAGTTGTCTATATTCATTGCAGTGGTAGAGTATAAATTATTAAACTTAACAGTCAAAGTCAAGACCTGTTAACTGATTTTTTACCCACTTCAGTTTAACGCATGCAGTAGAAACTATACAGATGTTCAGATTTGTTTCCTCACTAGTTGTATCGTCTATTGTGTTTGATTTTAATAATAGCAAATTCATAGGATTTTGATACAGCGAGGTTGTGCTATTAGATTTAGTTACGTCAAAAGATAATTCTATAATTTTGAAAGAAGATGGATCTAATCATTTTATTAAAAAAAATTCCAGTGGAGATACTAAAATGTCTGATATTAAATTTGTTCTAGGCAGTACAAGTAGTACTAGTGGTAGCAGTGGAAGCTCAACTAAAAATATCTGGGTTAGTGGACTTTCTTCTAATACCAAAGCTGCTGATTTGAAGAACCTTTTTGGCAAATATGGAAAGGTACGCTGCTTTTACCTGTTTATCTATCTTTCTCGTGTGTCCGTTTGAAAGGAATTCTATTCAAAACAATATTATATGAAACCTTCCAGTTTTTTTTGTTTTTCTTAGGACTGGTTTAAGCATAATTATTGAATTCTGTGGTAACGTAGAGTTCGTCCTATAATCTCACTCTGAGCCTGGGGATCTTTGTATTAAAAGCTCATATTACAGTTTTCTTTTTTTTTTTTTTTAATGTTTATTCATTTTTGAGAGACAGAGACAGAGCATGAGTGGGGGAGGAGCAGAGAGAGAGGGAGACACAGAATCCGAAGCAGGCTCCAGGCTCTGAGCTGTCAGCACAGAGCCCAATGCGGGGCTCAAATTCACAGACTGTGAGATCATGACCTTAGCTGAAGTCGGACGCTCAACTGATGGAGCCACCCAGGCGCCCCTAAAAGCTCATATTTTAAGCCCATTTCAGCCAAGGACTGAGTTATTCATCACATTCATCATGATTCTTCTAGGAACTAGAGTATCTAAGGCTAATCTAGTCATTTGGAAAATATTAGACAACGGGATATAGAATTTGGTGGGGGTGGGAACTGATACACCTGTCACCATACAGATTCCAGTACAGTAGTGGAAAAAAATGTAAAACTGGTGAAAATATCCTTCATCAGAAGTTGTGATATGTGCTATGATGGAAGAGTTGCCAAGAGAGCAGAAGGGGAGGCTCGACTGTGGTTGGTTCATCAGAAAAATATATACTGGCATATAAAGGGAAGATCTAACAGAAGAATAGCCAATAATTAAATGCATTAAATACTCAATTAATAGTTGTTGAATTGCATTGTAGTCGATTTGTATCCCTTAGGGCACTCACTCCTTTCTTCCTTATATTTTTGTTTTCATTATATGTCATATGTAATCTACTCCAGTGTAAGCTCTTTTTTTCTTAAATGTTTATTTTGAGAGAGAGAGAGCATGCACACAGAAGTGGGGGAGGGGCAGAGAGAGAAGGAGAGGGAGAATCCCAAGCAGCCTCCGTGCTGTCCCCGCAGAGCGTGACACAGGGCTCGATCCCTGTGTCCCAGGAACTGTGAGATCATAACTTGAGCCAAAATCAAGAGTTGGACTCTTAACTGACTGGAGGCACCCCTCCAATGTAGTCTCTTTGATAGCAGGGACTTCGTCTGCTATACTTTAAGTGCATGCGGTAGGCTTTGAAATATTTGTTAAATTAATGACCAATATTGGTGAATAACCATTCATGAATGTTATAAAAATCTATTCTGTTGATTTCAGAAGTCTTTTTTTTCTTCTTCTTCTAATATAGAGTTGCCTGAGTGTTAAGGATTCTTATAGGTGTCAGATAAACAACACTGAGAACTGTAGTCCTGTGATCAGCCTTGGTTTATTTTTTATTTTGTTTTCAGTAATTTATTGTTAGAGATATAAAAAGTTTTTTAATGCTGGCATTTCTTAGGACTAAAACTATATAAGGACACCGTGTACTTTTATAACAAGACATTGGGCTTTAAAACCAAGTTGTTGTTGGGGCAAGTCTGCCTTTCCCAGACTTGAGATAAAAGCTGATAGTTTCCAGCCATCCACACCACCCAGCCTCCTAAATTCCCTGTTTATCTCGTTTTGGCATTATGTCTGTCTCTCTTTTTGTTCAGCACTAGATTGTACTGCCACTTTTCTTCCTACTCATCCATCCCTGTTTCTCTTGACTTTGATAGAATTGAAATTCTTTGTCACTTTTATATTGGTGTATATTTTTAAAGCTCAAAGTGTATCTTTTTAGAGTATGTTTTTGTAGGGTGTGTTTTTAAGACTGCTTTTTTATATGTGGATGGTTCTTTATTCATTTTTTGAAATTTCTTAACTCATTGGAGAAAATTGTTAACACTCATTTAGAAACTTTCTAGAAAATTACCTCTTTTATTCCTCTGAGAGATTCAGGGAGGGTTTATGATAGGGGAAGTTTGGCCCAAATGCAATTGAGAATATTAATTTCTTTGCTTTCATTAATTGTGTCATTATTGCATTGATGTGACTGCTGTATTTTGGCTATAGAGTTGAAAATTTTAACACAAAACAAGTAGATTACAATTGCTTTTTGAGACTATTTTTTTTATTATTGTTTTTAATGTTTATTAATTTTCATAGAGGGACAGAGCGCAGGAGGAGGAGGGGTAGAGAGAGAAGGAGACCCGAAGCAGGCTCCAGGCTCTGAGCTGGCGGCACAGAGCCCGATGGGAGGGGCTGGAACTCAGGAACTGCAACATGATGACCTGAGCCGAAGTCGGATGCTTAACCGACTGAGCCACCCAAGTGCCCCTTGACGCTATTTTTTAAATGTTTATTTTGAGAGAGACAGACAGGGTGTGGGGGAGGACCAGAGAAAGAGAGAGGGAGAGAGAGAATCCCAGTCAGGCTCTGTGGTATCAGTGCACAGCCCATCATGGAGCTCAGTCCCACGAACTGTGGTCTCATGACCTGAGCCGAAATCAAGAGTTGGACGTTTAACCGACTGACCCATCCAGGAGCCCGGTTTTTGATGCTTTAGATTTTTCCCCTGGATATTTACTGAGTACTTTTATTATAAGCAAAGTAGATAATGATCACAAGAATATGAACCAAAATAATAATATATATCCAAAATGTATCCATCATCACAAATTCATGTATCCTGAATATATCCTTTTATTTGATTAGTATTAGTTCTGAAGTTTGATCTATTCAGAAATGTATGTTGTGGTAAAGTTGTAAAACTTTGTCAAGTGTTATTTTATATTCTAGGTTCTGAGTGCAAAGGTAGTTACGAATGCTCGAAGTCCTGGGGCAAAGTGCTATGGCATTGTAACTATGTCTTCAAGCACAGAGGTATCCAGATGTATTGCACATCTTCATCGCACTGAGCTGCATGGACAGCTGATTTCTGTTGAAAAAGTAAGCTTGCCTAAATGTATATAAAACGGAGGTTACTTCGAGGGCTAGCAGTGCTCAATTTAAAGAGTTTACACCCATAGAGAGTAGAATTTGGAATAGTTTTTAAGTATTATTTTTATGTTTTTACTTCTGTTTTTTCCACATTTGCTCCCCAAAACATACTTTTTTGTGATCTGAAACATAACCTTAAAACATACTGATTTTTTTTTTCCTGTTTAAACCTTTCAGGTTAAAGGTGATCCTTCTAAGAAAGAATTGAAGAAAGAAAATGATGAAAAGAGTAGTTCAAGAAGTTCTGGAGACAAAAAAAACATGAGTGATAGAAGTAGCAAGTAAGGATTTATTTTTTTGATAAGCACTAGACTTTTTTGGAAAATTGCTGCAAAAGTTCTCATTACGTGTTTTTCCTGGGTGGTATGATCAGGACACAAGCCTCTGTGAAAAAAGAAGAGAAAAGGTCATCTGAGAAATGTGAAAAAAAAGAAGGCAAGGATACTAAGAAAATAGAAGGTAAAGATGAGAAGAATGATAATGGATCAAGTGGCCAAACTTCAGAGTCGATTAAAAAAAGTGAAGAAAAGAAGCGAATAAGTATGCTTATGTATCTTTCTTCTCAATCCCTTTCTAATGCTTTCTACCATTTCATTTTTACAGTGGAATGGAAAACCTGAGATCCCAGTCCAGATAAATATTTAAACTTCGTTGTTAGGTGTCACTGTGGTAGAAGGGGAAGTCTTCTTTTGTACTCTTGGGAAACAAGTGTGTTCTTCCATCTAAGCCCCTTTATGGTCATCGATAGCTGTGTGACTGAGTTGGGATCTTTTGTTGTTTTGTTTTTTTCTTTTTTAATATGAAATTGATTGTCAAATTGGTTTCCATAAGAGTTGGGATCTTTTGGTATCACTGAAAGTAATTATGTTTGTGGGTTGAGCTCTTTTTAAAGACTATTTGCAGTTAAGTTCTCATAGAATAAGTAGGTTTATTTATTTCATGCACTATGTTGTGAATATCTGGCTATCTAAGATTTCAGCATTTTTACATGATAGTTACTGTCTTTTTTAATGAGATAGTGTTTAGACATTTGTTTATGTAATTTTTTTTTCCTCTTAGGTTCAAAGAGTCCAGGACATATGGTAATACTAGACCAAACTAAAGGAGATCATTGTAGGCCATCAAGAAGAGGAAGATATGAGAAAGTAAGTCTCTGAGAGGGCTGCTGTGTACTATTCTGCTGTTTTCAAAAGAAGATAATTCGGTATCTCTATAACTTGAAAATCAAGAAAAATAGAATGTCATTACTCTTTTAAAGCTTTTTAAATGACCAGCTGAACTTGAAAACCAAAACTCCACATTATTTTAACTTCTGGTCCTGTTACACTTTTTTTCTTATAGATTCATGGAAGAAGCAAGGAAAAGGAGAGAGCTAGCCTAGATAAAAAAAGGGACAAAGACTATAGAAGGAAAGACATCTTGCCTTTTGAAAAGATGAAGGAACAAAGACTAAGAGAGCATTTAGTTCGCTTTGAAAGATTGCGACGAGCAATGGAACTTCGAAGGTAGGAAAAGTGTCTCTTTTATACCTGTCGTTACCTATAGGTACATCTTTAACACTAGTTACAAACCAGATTCCTAGAAATTGTATTCCCAAGAAAGCTGTTTGCCGCTTTTAAGAAATGCAGTAAAACCTAATGATTTCTTAAGTTTGCATAGCATTTTGTAATTTACCAAGTACCTTTCCATCTGTTCTCTCTGTCTCAGCTGTTCTGTACGGTTAGGTGTGCCCATTATCTGATTGAAAAAATGGAGGCCCAGAGAGGCTAAAAGACTCTTCCAAATGCCACATGGCTAATGAGTGGCAGAGTCGGGACTCAGACCCAAGTCTTCTGACTCCAAGTCCAATGCTCTTTCCTCTACTCCAAAGCTGCCGCCATGAAAAACATTTTAAAGGAAAAAATGATGGTGACATAAGATAGCCTCAACGTAATCTATAGGTTCTCAAGTGTCTATTTTATACCTGTCTTTACCTGTAGGTACATCTTTAACACTAGTTATAAACCAGATTTCTGGAAATTGAAAGGAAGTGAAGGAATTTTGCCTTGTGAACCTTAATGTGTTCAAGCTCTGTCTCAAAGCAAGCATTCTCTTTAAAACAGAGAACAAAACAAAACATTTTCAATTTTTAGTGGCAGTATCTATCTCAGCAGTTTGCCATGAATGCCAGTTTGCTTTCATATGTCAATTTTTTGATGCCACTTAAAATATTCTTGTGATAGTGTTTTATAATATAAATTTCCAAATACTAACCTGTCTCATTGAGAGGTCTTTTATCATGGGATTTCATCTATTCGTTCACAGGAGCGTCAGGAATTACCAGACACTTGTGATGACTTAAATAGTACTGTGATTGCCACACACTTTATTAGAGAGAAATAATCCTCGCATTGCTCAGAATCCATTTGCTTTTTTTTGATGAAGTCCTAATATGCTGAGCTTCCTATTTAGATGACAGATCAGGAGGAGAGCGTGGGAGCTGCTAGAGCAGGGATTCTCATGCCTATCAGACCAGCACCCCTGTTATGTTAAAAAAAAGTTGCAGCGTCCTCTTTACTCTGCTGAAATGTAATTGATGCATAATAGGCCTACAAATGTGTTATATGCCTATGCAAATAATTTCCAAAAAACCAATATAATGCCTTAATTCTAATACAAAGGAGAAATAAAAGTAAATTATAATGAAGCATATATTCCAGATATGAATGTTTAGGCACGACTCTCTAGAAGACCTAATGAAGTAGTCAGATGTTTACAACCCTCTTTAGATTCAATGAGAATGTGACAGCTACAAATGCAGACTGATATTGGTGTGTCGTTTTGGTAAGTCAAATGCCAGGAGTGGTGTTGGCATTACAACATGATTTCTGAAATGGTGAACGACTCTTGGTGAAGGTCTTAAGAAAGTATAATTTTCCTTCTAATTGACATGGAGTTGCATTCCTGGAAATTTTAGTGTATATAAAACCATGCCAACCATGCAACCGTGCAAACCAACCAACCTAGCATGTATTCACAATGAGTGAAGCTCTAGGCTCCAGTTTTTTTAAAGGTGATTTTGTTTTGTTTTAATGACGTGAATGTCCATTATGACATTTGAAAGTATAATGAATATTGGACAGATTTTTTTGCTGTGCTGAACTATCTGACCATTCCATGCAGTGTAAGCTATCTAGAATCCTGGGTCCCCATTCACTCAGTGCTGCTGCTAATGGCCCCGATGGTCATTGGGATAATTTAAAGTGCCCCTCAGATTTCCATGGGAGCAGTACTGACCCACTGAGAACCACTGGGTGGCTAGAGGAAGACATGCTGATAGAGCACACTGAGGGCCTTAGAGTGAGGGGATGACAGAAATGTGAAAAGTCCCGATACGTTATCTTCATTAAGTTCAGCAAATATTTGAACTGCCTCCTGACTCAAAGAATCACGGGCTAGTGAACAGCAAAAAAGCCCTTAAGGGCAACCATCTTATTATATATAGCATCTGCTATAATTCATGTTGATGGATATGATCCCAAGTCACCAAAATAAGGTCTACTTTGTTTAAGGAGATAGAACACATACTAGCTACTGGAAAATTTCCTGTCAAAAACAGAAGTTGTAGTTTTGTAAACATATTTGTAGAATATGTCCTTATTAAAATGTTGATTAACTAATGGGCTATTATTATAGTGGGATTTTTATTTAAACAGGAATCCTCTAAGAGGCAACTACTCTATAAAATTCAGCTGCTCAGTTGACAATCTTAATAAATAAGTGACAGCATTTGAATCTGTTTAAAGTTTTATTTTGAGTTCTCTTTCCAATTAACATTAAAACTACTTAGATTGAGTTGAAGTTTAAACTTGCCAACCACAAGGAAAAATTCAAACTCAAAAGCTATTCTCTTTCACACAGTGCTAGCATAATTTAAGTATTTCTAAATACTGATTTTTGTTAGACGAAGAGAGATTGCAGAAAGAGAGCGTCGAGAGCGAGAACGCATTAGAATAATTCGTGAACGGGAAGAACGGGAACGCTTACAGAGAGAGAGAGAGCGCCTAGAAATTGAAAGGCAAAAACTAGAGAGAGAGAGAATGGAACGCGAACGCTTGGAAAGGGAACGCATTCGTATTGAACAGGTGCAGTCAGAAAATCTTTTCATCTTAAATAACTGACCTTTTTCAAACCCTGTGATTTTTGCCCTAAAATTTGCTTTACTTGTTGTAAAGCTTCTATAGAATGAGTTCAGCTGATGAGCATTTATTGAGTGCCCCTGAAAGATAACCATCAGTTAGGTGCTAGTTAAAAATACATTTAGCAGTGACTTTGTTCTGGCCAATTGGTAGTAACTCGAACTCTGCAATATCATGGCAGCCTAATAGTCTGAGCATAGGACTATGAGTCCAGAGTAGTTGTAATCCAGGCTCTGTCACTATCCCAGTCTCAGCACATCATAACTTATTTCCTTACATATTAGAGTGGGAATGATTTCCCAAGGCTGGAAGGAAATAATGCCTCTCTTTGCAGAATTGCATCAAAGCATTTAGTTTCCATACATATTTAGAACTTTATTTCTAATTCCCTTTAGGTGGTTTTGTTTCAATCAAATGATGAAACTGAATCTGACCTTCCCAATTACTTGCCAGCTTTCACCACCCAATCTCTGTTATTTTTAAATGTTGCAGAACAATAGCCATAGTCTAGATTACTGATTTCTGATTTCTGAAGTCAGTTTTGTTTATGTATTTGTCCCAGGTATGTGTTTTGCCTGGTGCTTGCCTATGGTGGTTTCTTAATGACAGGATGAAAACAAGGTTGCGCATGTACTTACCTTATGTTTTCATTTTGCATTGGTTGGTTCTTCCTTCTGTGTTGTCTGAAGGAACGTCGTAAGGAAGCTGAACGTATTGCTCGAGAACGAGAGGAACTGAGAAGGCAACAGCAGCAGCTTCGTTATGAACAAGAAAAAAGGAATTCTTTGAAACGCCCACGTGATGTAGATCATAGGTAGTTGCCTGCTTTCTTCTTTAACAGTTACATTTGTTACCTTATGCCTTTTAAACTAAGACTGACCAGGGCATTAGAAACTACAGGCAACTGTCACTGGAATAAAAGGTCATGATCAGTAGGGATGGGAATGATTGCAGGACTGGAGTGGATCCAATGCATTGTCAAGTAGGAAGAGTCTGCTCTCTTTCCCTTTCCCTTCCCCTTCCTAATGGCACATGTTTTTCCATTATGACTGGAAATACATGATTATACTGGGCTTCCGTGATGCTTCTCAAACTCAGACCCATTTGAAAATTCTTACAGGTTAATGCAGATAAACTTGGAAGTTACAAACTTGGGTTGTCTGTGTTCATGCTGCTTAATAGTTTTCAAAATATATATAGTTATTTAATTTTTTATCTCATAAATTCTATGAGATTTAGTTGGTTGTGTTGAAAAATACATGGAATGAATGAATTGTGCTTGGGACTTACCTGTGTAACTTCCAAAGTTAAACATAACTGAAAACGTTGTTAGAATTTTATTATAAAATGGTATCTTTTTTCCATTTACGAATTTTAAAACAGACCATTTTTCAACTATTTCCTCGCCTGTGAACTTCCTCTAACACTATAGGACTTCATGCAGTCTGATAATTAATTCTTTGCTAGCTTGTTCTTGTAACAGTGTTTTGTGTCTTGAGTTTATTAGCCTTCTGTGTCCACAGTTCCTAGCATGTGGTATGTATGACTCCAAATAAGTGTTGTTGGTTTATTATAAAACTAATTTATATAAATGAGCAAATATTTCTCTTCAAGGCGAGATGATCCTTACTGGAGCGAGAATAAAAAGTTGTCTCTAGATACAGATGCACGATTCAGCCATGGATCTGACTATTCTCGCCAGCAGAACAGATTTAATGACTTTGATCACCGAGAGAGGAGCAGGTTTCCTGAGAGTTCAACAGTACAGTCATCATCTTTTGAAAGGTAGATGCCTTTTTTAAAGTTACTGTATTTGGTACATGAGCCTTGCTAATGATATGTTTGGTTCTCTATTAAAACTTAAGTACAGGGGCGCCTGGGTGGCACAGTCGGTTAAGCGTCCGACTTCAGCCAGGTCACGATCTCACGGTCCGGGAGTTCGAGCCCCGCGTCGGGCTCTGGGCTGATGGCTCAGAGCCTGGAGCTTGTTTCCGATTCTGTGTCTCCCTCTCTCTCTCTGCCCCTCCCCCGTTCATGCTCTGTCTCTCTCTGTCCCAAAAATAAATAAACGTTGAAAAATAAATAAATAAATAAAACTTAAGTACAGCAGGTCAGGCCTGAGTGTTCAGAACAAATTGTGTGTTTGGTTTCTGTTTTCATTAATTTATAAATTCACATAATTAATTTATGTAGCTAGAATTCAATGTTCAAAATTAGTTTGGGGTACCTGGCTGGCTCAGTCTATGGTAGAGCATGTGACTCTTGATCTTGGGGTCGTGAGTTCAAGCCCCACACAGAGTATGGAGGTTGCTTGAATAAATAAATTAAAAAAAAAAAAAAGCTTTACTAGGCCACTATAACAAGGTCAAGTAGATTGGCTTTATCTTTTTAACTTTGTTTAAAACTAGGTGGGAATACTGTTAGCTTTGGATGTGCCTCAACTGTTAAGAACAGTATGACATCCTTCAGGTTGGTAGTCACTAGAGTGTTTGATGTAATTTCCCCCAGATGCTAAAAAACAATTTTCATGCCAAACATTTAGCTCATTTTAAAAGAATATAAGTTATTGATTATAATAATAGTTGTGGCTTTTTTGGTGGCTTTGCCTTAAGTTAATTTTTAAAGAACTGTAATTTTTGTAAGTTATGCAAATAAAATTAAGAAAAATAGGGCCAAATAAGTACGTCTCAGGACCTGTGTTCTTTGTTTTGGATAATCAACAGGCGAGAACGCTTTGTTGGTCAAAGTGAAGGGAAGAAAACACGTCCTACTGCACGAAGAGAAGATCCAGGTTTTGAAAGGTATCCCAAAAATTTCAGTGATTCCAGAAGAAATGAGCCTCCACCACCAAGAAATGAACTTAGAGAAACGGACAGGAGAGAAGTCCGGGGAGAACGAGATGAGAGGAGAACGGTAATCATCCATGACAGGCCTGATATCACTCACCCTAGACATCCTCGAGAAGCAGGGCCCAATCCATCCAGACCAACCACCTGGAAAAGTGATGGCGGCATGTCCACTGACAAACGGGAAGCAAGGTATTTGTGTAGTTTTCAGTGTCTAACTGGTGGTACATAACGAATTTGGGTTTAGGGAAAAAAGATGTTAGGGCATCTGACTGACTCAGTTGGAAGAGCATGCGACTCTTCACCTCAGGGTCAGGGGTTCGAGCCCCACATGGTGTAGAGATTACTTAAATAAATAAAACCTAAAAAAATTTAAAAAAAATTTTTTTTAAGGTGTAAAAGAATTTTGATTGTAGATATCTTTGGGTTTTGTTTAACAGAGTTGAAAGGCCGGAACGATCGGGGAGGGAAGTATCAGGACACAGTGTGAGAGGGGCTCCCCCTGGGAATCGCAGCAGTGCTTCCAGCTATGGAAACAGAGAGGGAGACAGAGGCGTAATCACAGACCGAGGAAGTGGAACACAGGTAAGTGCTTGAGAGTTTATTGTCCACTCTTCTGTAATAAATTCAGAGGACTTATTTTTTAAGTTTTTTTTTTTTTTTTTTAAACGTTTATTTGTCTATTTTTGAGAGAGAGAGCACGTGGGAGGGTCAGAGAGAGGAGACAATCCCAAGCAGGCTCCATACTGTCATCACAGATCCCAAGGTGGGGCTCAAACTCTCAGAATCGTGAGATCATGTCCTGAGCTGAAATCAAGAGTTGGACGCTCAACCTACTGAGCCACCCAGGTGCCCCAAGGACTTAAAATTTTGATGAAGCCTGGATTAGTTAGATTAGAATGATTGGGAGACTAGTTTCTATCAAAGATCTTAAAATCTTTCATATTTTACTGTCAGTAATTGAACATCACTACAAAGAAGTAGGATACTAGCCCTGAAAGTCTGATGCCATTTTTATTAAAATTCCTACTGAAATTTGAGCATTATTAAATTTTGTAGATGAGCCTTCCTAGTGAATGAATGTTTTATTTCTCTTTAAGAAATTGAGGCTTTCATACTAGATGCAAAAATCTTTGGCCTCTACTTGTGTTTCCCTTTCACTTTTCCTTTTTTTTGTCCAGTCCTCTCCTTGTTCATTCAGTAGTTTATAGTGTAGAATTGAGATATAATTTTTGTGTCTTTTTCTTTTAATTCTAAAGGTAGGTGGGTGAAATATTTCATATTTTTAAATTGCTTTTTATTCTTGTGATACTTTATTGACTTGATTATTTTGGAAGTTAATGAACCTGGCCAAAGCGAAGTATCTTCATCTCTTAACAACTCAAATGACCTTTCAACGAATCTGAAAGCATTCTATTGATGAAATACTGGCATATGAGTTGACAGTAGCACAAATAGAAAATCTTCCTAAATTACACACAAAAAAGAATTCTGAAATGTGTGTGTGTGTCCATTCTTCAACCTGCATTATAGTATGAAGCTCTGTTTTGTATTTGAATACATATTCGATTTTGTAGTGGTATACTTGACTGGAAATTTTTTTAATCCCTTGACATTCTAGCTATACCACTATACACTTTCCATTTCATCCAGAGCACTTATGAAATGGATTTGGGAGTGCATTATAAGCTTTCATGTTTTAAGTAAGTTGAAATGTTCAGTGGATCAGTTCATTGATTTCTTTGCCCTGAACATAACTTTCAAGACGGGGTGTATAATCCAGACATTCTGCCCTATTTAGAGTAACACTTAAGGAAGGCAGTCTCACAGAGTAGCCCCTGTATTCAGATATCCATTCAGAAAAGATGTTCTGAGGAGGAGATCCTGTCCCTGCCTTGACAATTCTGTTTTTCATAATGTATGTTGTTCTGCCAGTATTACACCTATGTAGAGTACCTTCAGCTTTATTTTCTGTAGACTAAGTATTGTCACTTTTGACTCTGCTTTTCTTGGATCCTTAGTTCTGTGGCTTTTGTTTCTTTATGTTCACTACTCTGCTTTTCTCGTCATGTATGTAAGACCTTGTAAGAGTCATAGCATTGATGAGTACCGTGTGAAATAAGACGGTGATTTGCGTGTCTCTGTGCTGTTTGAGTGTTGAGCATATACCCCACCTTGATTTGTCTTCAGGTTTTGACCTTTCACTGTGCCTTCTTACATACCTATAAATCAATGCATGATATGCATATCTAGAAATACTCAAAGTCATGAAGGACATGCATGCTAGAAGGTATGGAAATAGAAATGACAGTGCTGAATCATTGCCCCCTTACCCTACCCTGAAGCCCGAGCAGCTTCTCAATATGAAGTAGTTGGAAACCCTTTGCATATCCTCTTGTATTATTCACCAGTTTTCTTCTCAGACATCGTATTGATTTGCTTCCGACATTAAGAGCACACCAACATAGTGAGTTGGCATGAGGCTGAGGGTATCATGACCTTTCTTTTAATATGTGATTCTTTAGCACTATCCTGAAGAGCGACATGTGGTTGAACGCCATGGACGGGACACAAGTGGACCAAGGAAAGAGTGGCATGGTCCACCTTCTCAAGGGCCTGGCTATCACGATGCAAGGCGAATGGGTGATGGCCGGACAGGAGCGGGCATGATAACCCAACATGCGAGGTAAGTAGTTATTCGGTTAAGACTTTTCTGGCAGCATATATCCAAACCTTTGTCCTTTCCTTAAAGGGCAAAATAATTTCTGAGAGATTAAATTGCAGCTGGTAACAAACAGCCCTAGCCCTGCCCTGCCCAAACATTTCTCCTTATTAACTCAAAATCTCCCAGAGATTTTATGTAGGGCAGCTAATGGTAATTTGTTAGTTTACATTGGCATTCTGCCGTATGGATCGAGATACAGGTACGTGTGTGTCTTAGAAACCAGTAGATGATGAACATTAACTTCATGTTGGAGTCGTGATCTTGTTCAGTGCCTGTCACTCCTAAAAGTTCTGGAAAGGAAGAGGAAACAAAATATATTCTGCTTCCTTCCTTTTCAAATAGGTCTAGCAAAAATTTTGGATAGTTAACTAACCCAAAGCCTGTGTATATTCTAAGAGATGAGCTTCATTTTCCCTGTGCACTAACATCCATCGTGGCCCCTCAGCTGGCAAGTCTTTGGCCTCTCCTGGTCTTCCTTGCCCTTCTTTCTTTCCCATTCCCCTGTCTTAGAAGAGGGGGGGCTTGACTCGGTGATCTCAGTTACTGCTATTCTGTTGGTCACTTCTACCATCAGACTTGAGTGAGTGTTTATTATATTTGGGCCTGCACAGCCTCATCACTCATTTCTGTCTTTGGGTCTAAAGGTTACCAATGCCTTTTTTCTTGATTAATCTATATCTCTTTATTTTCTGAGTTCTTGAGCTCCTTGGTAGTTAAGCATTGTTTCTCATTGCTGCTTTTCCTTTTTTGTGTGACCCACATGTTTTCTAATGCATCGTATTTTTTTCCTCACCTTTTTTATTTCCTTTGCCGGCTCCTTCAGATGGTTGAACTTTAAACACCACTCTATATTTAGCTCTGTATTATGATCTTTATGTAAATACTTTGCTCTCTCTCTAAATTCAGGGTCGCAGGCAAACTCATTCCTCTCCTGTTTCAGATCTTCACGTCCCATTTGTCGTCTCTAGCTTCTTTTAATTTGTTGGTGCCACTGTTCATCTCATTCACCTAGACTGGGCCTCATCTTTACATTTCTTCATTCCTAGCATAAATATGTAAATGTGGTTCTGTTTTTAAAGAAGAGTTATAGTAGCTATGCTTTCTTCCTCATTTCAGCTTCTATCTGAGCTTCTCAAATTAGTCTTTTTCCTTCTCCGTTACACATACTATTTACAAATTTAATTGTTAGAAATGTTTTCATACACCATTTACTTGGTTCCAAAGCCACAAGCTTTGGTCTTATTCTACTTAAAGCGTTTTACCATCGGTTTTTATCTCCCAAATTGGTTGTAGGTTTTTTTGGTGTGCCTTTTTTCTTGCGTCTCTCATTAGTACCTACTATGTTGCATTAAACATATAAAAAATCAACCTTCCTCCAGAATCCAAAAATATTGGTGTGACAATGTCCTGTAGCTCAGTGGTTCAAGTTCCTCATTGATGCTGATGCTGCTGATCTGGGGACCACACTCTGAGGGCTGCTGCTCTGTTCCATTCATGTGCACACCAGTAAATGGCTTACTCTGAGGAAGGGACTTTGAAGCAAGAGTGCCCAAGTTTGTTTGTTTGTTTGTTTATTTATTTATTTATTTTAAATGTTTTTATTTATATTTGAGACAGAGAGAGAGCATGAGCAGGGAAGGGGCAGAGAGAGAGGGAGACACAGAATCTGAAGCAAGCTCCAGGCTCTGAGCTGTCAGCACAGAGCCTGATGCAGGGCTTGAACTCACAGACTGAGATCATGATCTGAGCTGAAGTCAGACGCTTAACCAACTGAGCCAGCCAGGCGCCCCAAGAGTGCCCAAGTTTAAGTCCTCATTCCCCCATTTATTAGCTGTGACCTTGAGCAAGTCACTTAGCCTCCAGATCTCAGTTTCCTCATCAATAAAGAGGAGTTTGTAAATGGTACTTACCTCACAGAACTGTTGAAAAGAATGTTATTTAATATGGGTAAAGTACAAAGAACAACAGTGCCTGGTAAATGATAAGCACTTTATAGGTATTAGCTATAATTTATTCTTTTGTTCTTGACAGTTTTTTCTTTTAAACCTTTTTCAGTAATGCATCCCCAATTAATAGAATTGTACAAATCAGTGGCAATTCCATGCCAAGAGGAAGTGGCTCCGGATTTAAGCCATTTAAGGGTGGACCTCCGCGACGATTCTGAAAATTAGCTCTCTGCCATGGTTTCAAGATAATTTATTGAAATCTCCTGTAAACTTTACTTGACTACTTACGAAGAGGACCTCTGACTTGCTTGAGAGTTTTGTCAGACTTTTCTTTTTTTCTCTTTTTTTAAAATTTAACATGATTGCTTTTCTCAATTTTGGAGAAGATGTTTAAATAGTTCCGTTGTAACTTTTAATAGTTTTGTGTATCATTCAACTTTTTTTCTTGCAGCACCGAGACACATTTGAAAGGATGGAATCAAAACCATTTTGTTGAACTCTGTGTGAATATAAAGAGTAGTTTGCAGCTGTGTGGTAGTAGTTTAATTTGCAGCATTAGCTCCGTGGTGTCAGGCTCTAGAGTTCCTTCTTGTCACCAAGCATTTTCAGCCTCCATTTTGAAGGCTGTCGAAGCTTAAAACGTCTGCTGTCTAATTTTTAGAGAATAAGATTGTTCCTTGCATTTCTGAGTATTATGTAACCTATTTTTGCAGAAGGTACTGTTACATTAAGTGCATCTGTGTATCCTGGTTTAAAAAAATGTACTCTTTTTTGAAATAAACCTTCCTATTCTGTATAGTTGCTAAAGCGTTGAGAACCTTTTTAATTGTAAAATGAGAGCCGATTTTCAGGTTAGTGTAGCAGCACACTTGTTCAGGTTTGCATGGTATGAAACCAAATAGATGAACGAAACCTTGGCCATGAGGTTTGTATCACTGAGGTTTTTAGACTGAGTTGTGCAGGTAAGTGCACTTGTAGGTAATCTGCACTATTTGGTGGATAAATCCCACCTCTGGGAGTTGTGTGGTTACTAATGTTTCCATGTTCCCAACTATGTTGAGAACTGGAAAAAACCCAGGTTCTAGATTGGTGAATCAGTTGGGTTTTGTAAATACTTGTATGTGGGAAGGCATTGTTGTCTCTGTGAAAATAAAAATCCACACCTGGAAGTGTATGTGTCTTTGTTTCCAGCGTTTTAGATGTTAGTCCTCCAGCCCTTTCTGGTGTTAAATCCAAAATCGTTGACTAGGTTTAGAGCTCTAAAGGCAGCCTTTTGGTCTTTGTTCCTAGGAAATAAATCTGACCGATTCTTCACCTTGGTAGCTGGGTACTGTGCTCTGTTACAGTGTTAGAGAGTTAACGTCTAAGCTCACAGACTTTTAAGATTTTTTTTTTTTTTAAGGCATCTTTTCTAGGAAAGCCCTTCAAGGTGAATTCTGAATACCACCTCTTAAAGCCTTCCATATTCCTTTGTATGCAGCAGTGAATAATAATCCAAAAGGTCTAGATTCTTAGATAATTTAGCAGTTTGAATTCTCATATAAAGGGAAAGATGGAACGAGGGATCGCTCTGAGGCCACCTTTTGATTTGAGAAGGAGTCTCTGCAGAAGTTCTTGTAAATGTCTGTGGGTGGATATGGTCGTGCTCATGAGATGGCTCAGACTTCTGTGTGGTGTGGGCAGGCACAGTACCCTGGTCTTCGGCCTTTTGGGAAGCTGGCACTTCTGTATTGCTCTGGATTTCATAACCTTTTCTGCCCTTCTCAGCTCTACAACTGAGTATTTCAATTTGTAAAGGTTGCTGGTTAAATAGAGAAATGAACTGGTACAACTGCTGACTGGACAAAATTGGAGATCTAACTGAGCGGGGTAAGGTTAGTTGTCAAGCCTGGGCCCTACCCCCAGACATTTGTGGCTGGGGCCTAGGCATATTTTTCCACAAATGTTCTCCGAGATGATTCATATGTACAGGTGGCATTGACAGTCACTATAGACATAGAGCGCAGAGTAGACAGGACCAAATGCTCTTTGAAGAGCAGCAGGCATTTTTATGGGTAATAGAGTTTTCCTCATCACTGCTCAAATACATGTTATTTCGGTTTTAGAGACCCCATCTTTTGCCAGCGGGGGTGAGATGCTCTGATTAGTGTGATTTTCTAGTTAACTAGAGGTTAATGACTTTATATAATTGAACCACTCAGGAATGGGCAAAGGGGGACTTCTTTGTCAGCTTTAGGAGCTTTTATCCAGAGCTTTCAGAACTGTCCTGGTTAAGCTGTGAAATCTTAGTATTATTAATATTATATATTACAGAAATTTGTTTTCATTCTGTTAACTAGAGAGTCACCTCCGAGAAGGGTTTAGAAGAGTTTTAGCCTGGGCACCCGGGTGGTTCAGTCGGTGGGCATCCGACTTCAGCTCAGGTCATGATCTCACAGTTTGTGGATCTGAGCCCCACGTATGATTCTGTGCTGACAGCTCAGAGCCTGGAGCCTGCTTTGGATTCTGTGTCTCCATGTTTCTCTGTCCCTCCCCCACTCATGCTCTGTCTCTCAAAAATAAATAAATATTTTTAAAAATTTTATTTATTATTTGAGAGACAGCATGTACAAGCAGGGGAGGGGCAGAGAGAAGGAGAGAGATCCCAAGCAGGCTTCATGCTGTCAGTGCAGAGCCCAGTGCAGCGTTCGAACTCATGAACTGTGAAATCATGATCTGAGCCGAAACCAAGAGTCCGATGCTCAACCAACTGAGCCACCCTGGTGCCTCAATAAGGTAACTTATGTGTGTCCTCCCCATATGTAGTTTGTGTATTCAACACATTTTCTTTCACAATCCTAGCATTCTGTTTTATAGAAGTTATCAAACTGATTTTAAAACTTCCGTGGAAATGGAAAGGAGTGAGATTAGCCAAAAATAAATTTGAAAAACATAAATAACAACATTAGAGGAATTACATTACCTGCTTACTGTGTGTCACGCATATTAAATAGGAGTATAAGTCATCACAGAAATTACTGTTAATTGAACACTTACATGGGCTAGGCATTGTTACTAGGTAATTTACATGCATTAATTAATTTCCACAAGGTTATGTTTTAGGTGAAGGTACTTTTTTTTTTTTTTTTT